AATTATCAGTTATAAAGTTAAAAAATTAAAAATTTCCTCTCTTTGAATAGCACATAAGTAAATAAAATAAACAACAATAAACTACAGATTGGGAAAAAATATTTTCAATATATATATCATGTAACTCATAATGAAGTTTCTTCTAGAATGCATAAGAACTTTTATAATTCAATAATAAGAAGACATATATTTCAATTTAAAAAATGGCCAAATCTATTTACTTAACATGGGTGCATTTTATTTTATATAAATTAAACTTAGAGAAAATTTATTTAATAAGTAAGGCATCATAGTGAAGTTGAAAAGATAGGCCACCAATTGGCAGAAGAGATTTACAACACACATAATAAAAGAAAGGGTAAATACATAGACTCCCATGAATCTATTTGAAAAAGATAAAGAAATGTGGAAAAATGAACAAAAGTTTGAACATGTAAATTGTAAAAGAGGACAGTTGAATGTTACATTTTGAAAAAAGTAAAGAATCATGAATTTATTAATAGTCAGGAAAATCAAAATTAAACCAAAATATCATTATACATACCTCATGTTGGCAAACATTTTAAAAGTTGGACTATACTACATGTTTATAGAAAGATGGAACAATGGGAACTTTCATATATATGTGAAATGTGAACAACCTTATTAGAAAAGTGTTTGGTATTATTTTGTAAATCTATGACCCTAGGTATATGCACTAGAAAAACCCTTACTGTTACTTTGAATGTACCCCAGCAGTACAAAAGATACATAAATTGAGGTCCATTCTAACGGATACTATACAGCAATGAGAAGGGACTAATCACAACCACATGGAATACAGTGGATAAATCCCACAAACAATATTGAGTGAAAGACACAGGGTTTAAAAAGTACATATAGTTTGATTCCATTTATGTAGATTTTAGAAAGGAAATCCAAATCTTGCATTGCTAAAAGATATTAACTTTGGTGATGAAATAATAAAGAAAAGCTACAAAATATTGTCACCTTATGTAGAAGAGAGAACATATGAAGTTGCCCATGAACAGACCTATTATTACAATAGCAATATTTTGTTTCTTAACTTATTGTTTAATGAGTGCCTGCTCTGTTGTTATGTTTGAATTTATATATATATATATAATGTTATTCATGTATTTTATTCATGTAATTCACTACACAAATTGAAAATAGAATGTCAGATCATGTTATTCCTTTGCACAAACCCTCCAGTTCTTTCTATTTCACTAGGAACCTAAATTATATTAACTAGTGATTATCTTCCATTTTGACAATCTACTTTTACTTTACATTTTTATAATTTTTCAAATCTTGGAATATTCCAAACATAATAGGTTTGACTTTTAATAGTTTCAATCTGCCCTTTATTTCTGCTAAGGCAGGTTTCAATTCTGGAATTGTGCTTCATTTTCCCGTGACCTGATCTTATCTCCTTTATTTCCATGACTTCTCCTTTGCGCCTTTTCAACTGGTCCTTGTGACCTATTCATTTTGTCCTATTTTCTTCTTATGTATTTTTTCTCCTTTTCCACCTTTTTTTTTATATTCTGTTGTGGCTGGAATTCAATTTTGTGACATTTTTCTTTCGGATCCTATACAATCTTTTATTTGAATGATACTGATAAAAACAGTAGTAGTAATAGCAATAAAGTAACACCTGCCCTTATCTTTTCTTGAACAATTGTTATTTTCCAGACATTATGTTATATTAAGCACATTATATCTATTGTTTCATGAATTATTAAAATATCATTGTATTATATTTATTACCTTCACTGCAGTGATGAATAATATGAAATCTAGGAAAGCTGAAGAAAACACTTTCATAGTGGCCGGGGGTTGGCATATCTATCTATGTGACTTTAGAATCTCTGCTCCTGATTTTTTCCTAAGCTGCTACTATGCTTAAATTACCATTGAAATTGGAACTTCTGAAAAAATCCACCAATAGATTTGCTTGCTACTAAGAGAGCTTCACTCTTTAAAAGCTAAATATATACTATAAAATCCCTCTGTACCCTCTTTCTTTCTACTTATATATACCTTTTTCTAGTCTAAGTGACTAAAGTTGTATTTTAGACTTAAGCAAGTGTGAGATAAGTATTATTTTCCTTTCCTTACTGAATTACTTAAACCTGAATAATAGAGATGTCATATTCTCCTGGTTTTATCTCCTTGGGATAGCATCTGAGTTATGGGCTATATGGTAGAAAGATGTAGAACTTCTCAGCTATTTTCATACCAAGCAGATGTTTCATGAAGCTAAACCACATTTTAAAGCATTAATTGATTTTCCTCACTCCTACCCCATCTAGTTCATAATTAGTTCAGTAGCTACTAGGTCCTGGTGTAAGTTTTGTCATTAGAGATAGGGATTGCTAACTTTCTCGAATATTCTAACTGGAATTTTAATAAGAATTTTGGAGACAATGTATTAGAGGCTAGTAGGAAAGAAAAATTTTGAATCAGAAGTTAATTCTTTTATCTAGGCTAAGATTTGTTTTTATACTGATTTGCTCCATATACATAGCACTGTGTACATTATTTAAGTGAATATGCTGTCCAGATCATCAGCAACCTCAGAATATGGTTTGGGTTTTCATTTACTTTGATTCCAATGAGGAAATAATTCAGGAATTTGCACGAAGTAAGCATTCAGCAATACCTATGAGGAAATTTTTTTTCTTTTTCTTCTATTCTTAATTTGAGAATGCAGAATGAATTTAGAAATTTTTCCTACACTTCAAGGTATTAATGGAATAGAAGAGAGAACAAAACGTCCAATGAAAAAGCTCTGTGTAAATTACCTACAAAACTAGCCATTTAACATCCTAGAATGTCCAATCTGAAATGAGCAGAACCTAAAATATGTTGAAATAATAATTCTGGTGAAATAAAATATTTAATAATTTAAAATATTAATATTCACATAAACCACAATATTAATGTCATATTTATTTAGTTGCATGCTTATTATTTTTTCAAATCATCTGTAATAATCCAAGTTTGGGAGATACGATAAAAACATTATTTTTCAAATTGATACTGTTTTGGACATTGATGAAATGCTACTTAATATACTTGTCAAATAAATAGAAAGTGCAAAATTGTAAATTGATAATATATATTCTGTTCTCATTTCTCAGGTATTTACCATTGATTCTTCCTAGGAAAACTCATTTAAAGAGCTCATTGTTTTGGACTGAATTCATCTGGAAAATCACAGACACTGTGATAAAATAATTTCATTGTGAATGATGATTGCTATTTGCCAGTGACAAAGACAGTATTTCTTTGGTGTTTTGCCAACTTTTAAGTCATATTAGAAAAATTTATAATAGTCAATGGTTTCTTTCAAAGTAGAAATATTGGAGGCTTCATATATGAGTAATATGATAAAACTTCTGAATTTGGAAATTAAGAACTGTTATAAATTCTCAACAATTTGTGTGGGTGAAAAAAAGATGTCTATGATACATGAACAGTGCTGAGACATTTAGATAACCAAAATTTACTCATGAGTAGGTTACCATAACCTCAAAAATGAGGACAGTAAAGAGACATAAATGATCTAGGAATGAAGTCTTAATGTGCTCTGAGTACCTGGTAAATTTCTAATTCTACGCTAGAAAGAATGACACTTTTATGAGACTTAAAACAATCCAGTGTTGATTCTTTTCACATTTCACATCTTAAACTTCCAGACTCAGGCCAGGTTCAAGAACGAAAATTGGAATTAGAGTGAGAGGATTACGCTTTGGGAAGGAATAAGAGTCATGTAGTTTTCATCTCCATTTCTTTAGATATTTGTGTAGAATTCACATGTAAGTTCAGTATCTACATCATAAATATAATTTATTATTTTCAGTTCCCTTTAATGTTCATTAATATTAGGAATAGTTATCCGAAATATATAACCTTTTATATGTATCAGGAGTTAATTATTTAACAGAAAAAGAAATACTTACTTTAGAAATATTCTCTTATTCATACAATTTCCTGTAATAATATGATGTTTTATCTGTGAAAGACTAACCCTGCCCTGGAAGAAGTTGTAAGAAATGATCAGCCTAATGCAGATCACAACTTCAATGCTTAACATGTGGCCAAATTTCAGTGGCCTTGCACTGAATCCATCATTTTCCCTGCCAAGGTACCTTCTCCTCTTTTTACTATTTTAGTGAATTGATGTCTTCACGTAGTCACTCCAGCAAGGAATCTAGAGTTATTCTAGGTGCCCCTTTCCTTTGTTGCTCACAGTCTGTCACCAAATCATGTAAATTGCACATTTTCACCTGTTATGAATCTGTCCCCTCATATCCATGCCTATAGTAGAGCACTAGTCCATGCCCTCATCATCTCTTTAGGCTAATGAAAATAATTCCTCTAATTATCCATCAGTCATTCCACTACTCTGCCTAATGGCTCCATGTCATCAGCTGATAAATTAGAAAATCATTAAATTAGCCATCGGAGGTCCATGTGATTCTACATAACTTGACACCTGTCTGCTGCTTTCATCTGGTCTCTTTTCAGACTCTCACCTTGAATGCTAATTGTTGCCATTATTCCAAACAGTTTCCAAATTCCATATAGTTTCTTAATCATACCAGGCTGTTTCTTGATTTTTTGCTTTTGGTCATGCTATTCTTTGCTGAAAATTATCCCTACGACCCAGCTTTTTTCACGATGCCCCTTCTCTGGCTGGAAAGCACATACGATACTCATTTTTCAACATTCAGCTCGAATGAGTAAAACTGATCATCCTTTTTTAATGTGTCTGGTATACACACAGGTCTTTCACAGCAGCTATAAGATGTTACTGCATACATCTTTTTGCTTGTCTGTTTTTCCATGTCAAAAATGAAAGGCTGTCGAGTGTAGACCATCTACTTTATACATTATTGTTATCTTCAGAAACTTGCAAAGTTTTAGAAAATAGTAGATTCATAATAAACACTTACAGAATTGATGGATAAAGTAACAAAAGTCAATACCTGGGTGTTCAATGGGCATTTCAGGTGGAAGTCATATTTTTTGATTAGTGTTAAGAGGCATTGTCTGGAAAGATAAAACAAAAACCCTGTTTAAAATTGGGTAGGAAAACTTATCTTATTATCTTTAGGACAAATATTTCTCAAGGCTTCTGTTTTGTCCATGATTCTGTAACAAGCATGGTGTAAAAAGGATTACTGATGGCATAATTTTAAAAAAAATTTTCATATAGGTGTCTTATAAAGTTTGTATGATTTGATAGGCTAAAAACATACTTGAAAATCTTAGAACTCCCAAGAAATCATGACAAATTAACTAAACCTTTCAAAGGCTGATCAATACATCAAACTACCCATAATTCAAAATGTAAGTGGTAAAGGGATTCATAGGCAGAAAATGGCATATATTAACATCAAGAAATGTTAAGTATATAAAATCTCATAGAGAATTGCATTTGGAATTAATGGCACATATTTATAATAGATAGGGTTGTCTCTGACACCAAATCTCTGCATTTTTCTTTCCTAAGCTTCTATTATTGTTCCAGCTTTATCTATGCTTAGGTGGAATATATGTGGTTTGAGCAGGGATTCTTCTGAGCTTCACTATTTAAAACTATTTTTCCAAACATTATTGACTTTACCTTCTTATTTGTTCTGAAAACTGCTGAATTGAATTGAATCATGAGTCACACAACACAAAAACACAGCATTAAAGCACACCATTATACTTTACAATAGCTGTACTCTCATTTTTTTATTACATTAGCACTTTAGTTGCAGTCCATCTGTCAGTTCAAAGACAAAATGCATAGAATAGGTAAAAGTCCATGGAGGGGAAGGAAAGGAGTAGCTAAAGATTTGGGCAGTGGGATTGTTTTTATATAACACCTAAAACTAATAAGACCCTCCAGAAGGCGCCTACTTCAACACTTTGTTATTGGATATGGTATCTATTTTATAGAAAAAACTACTAGGAATTAGGGAAGATAAGTGATTTGCTTAACTTCTAAGTGTTAGTTGAGTCATAAAAGAGGAAGACAAATAAAAGCTCCTGACATCCAGTCCCTGATCTTTTGATGACGCCACAAAATGATCTCAGGAGGGCAGGCAAAGCAGCACTGTGTCACAGAAAGTGAGGTCCTGCAGTGGCCTTGATGAGGCTGAGAATGGACCTGTGTGAGATAACGTTTGAGAAACATCCGACAGGGGGTGTTGGAATATAATGTAAGTGGAATAAGCACTGATTGAGAGTGAAACTTGGTTTTAGTCACGGGCTGTATCATTAAATATCTGTGTAATGATGGCCAAAGTTTTGAACTTCTGTGTTTTAGTTTCCTTACCACAGGGGAAACAGCGCTGGGAGATGATGGCATTCCCCAGACTGTAGTCCACTGCTCCGGAGTTGGAGGGAAGGGGTGGAGGAGGGAAAGTCTGATGACAGACAGAATAGACACGTCTGGAAACGTCCATGACACATTTCCTCTACTCCTCACTGCAACAGCACTTTCGCTTGGCCCTGATTTAACCCTCTGGACACCTGCACCTGCACAGTGGTCAAGACCACCAGACTTCTGCAAGGGGGCAGCAATGATGGGTAAGACAAGAGCAGAATGGGAACTCCCTTGCCCTCACCCTGTCCCCACAGTCTCAGCATGCCATTAGTGCCCCAGGGACCCAGTCACTTACAAGGCCCAACAACCCTCCACCAAGCCAGTTCAAAACAGTCCTCTCTCTCTCAAGAATTTCCTACTTTTTAAAGAAGTTGTCATATATGATGAATGTGTGTGTGTGTGTGTGTGTGTATGTGTGTGTGTGTATGTCACTCTCTCTGTTTTTTTTTGTTGTTGTTGTTGTTTGTTTCTAGATAGACTTATTTTGGTGAAAGGAAATTTTTGCATAACTTGCTATGCACCAGGAACCTATACCTGAGCCATGTAGTTAGCTCTAAAATGAAAATGTGGATAAGATTATGTCCAAAGTCCTTTCTAATCCTAGCCATTCTGTGATTTTATGGCATGAAGTTAGACCTTTTGGGGCAGAGGGGAGAGCTGCATATGGAAAAACAGAATAGTTTAATGAAAGAACACAGCCTTTGCAAATTTCAGTCAGACCTCGTTTTAGTCCTTCCACTAATGACCTGAGTGGCCTTAGTTGCAAGTTATTAATATTTACCCTCCAAGAACCTAAGTTTTTTTGATTCTGAGGTAGAATAATATGTAATATGTACTAGGGTTTAAGGGAGAATTAAATGAAATACATGCAAAGTGTATAATAACTCCAAAAAGTAATTATGATTAATAGTCACTAAAAACAATTTAAACTCATATTTTTAAAACCAGGATTTGCTTTAGAGAGTTATGATATATACATCCCACACCACATTTTTTGCTGGTTCAGCCTAGAACAACTTTAATTCCAGGAACATGCAAACTGTAGCACTGATATCTTCTCCAGTTTAGCTTCTTGGTAGGTCTATTCTTCCAAATAACACACACAGACATTTAGATACGAGGATCAATTAGGATATGTTCATCTGCTGTCACTTGAGTTTTCCAATTTTACTTCACACTCCTCTGTGTATGATATGCCAATTAATTTCAGGGAGTTGCAGAAAGAAATTTAAAGCAGGCGATGGTGTCTTTCAAAGTATGGAAATCCAGCTTTACAAAGAGCTTAGTGACACATGCACACCCAAATTCACAAAACGAATGAGAAAAAAAAAAAAGTCCTTGAAAATTAATAACCAGCAGCAGAGATATTTTAAAATGTATGTAGAATGTTCTGGAAGGTGTTAGCAGCTCTTCAAATATATCTGAATAACTGCGAAGAATAGATAATTATTAACAGAATTTGCCAAAGGGAGATATCTATTAAAAATACAATCGCTTCTACAGTACTAGTGAAAGGACAGTTTTTACAATCAACTGAAAAATATTGTGATTTGGCATTTGGAGAACTCAGTCAGAATGCAGTCTTGGAACAGAAATAAAATGTCTTACCTGGATACTTTCCAAATATGCATAAATTCTAGAAGTTGGTTCAGATAAAACTGACTGTGGTCATCTTCATGCTGTAGACAGTAGAATATATTAATATTTATAGAGTGAATAGAAATGACTACCAGATAAAAATAGGTCTGTTACTTCCTGCTGTCATTGTATTCACCTACTTTGATAACCCTCATTCATCATTTTTATACTTTGTCTTAAAGACCTTACAAGACTCTCCTTAAGTGTATAAGCCTTTTCAATAATAAAGCAGAAAACTGAGCTTGGGTTGAGGATAGATAACCTATAGCCATGTTGAAAAACATTCTAGCACCACCAACATCAGATGTTAATTACTGCTAGTAATTAAGAAGGCAAATTTTCAGGCACTGGTTTCTCCCCCACACAAGCACATTTTGGTTTTGTCACATTTAGGCCATGCATGCCATGGTGGTGTAAGACTTGACATTTTGCCAGATGGGCTTGCAGACTTATAATGAACTCCTCTATTTTTTCAGCTTCACCACTTCTTACTGCCAAAATGTCACTGTTAGAGAGCTTTCCATTTCATGAACACTAAATTATGCTAATGAGTGACAACTACTAATAGGTATGAACTCCAGGAGTTATCAGTTGGCGTTTTGTTTTCTCCCCATATAGGCAGAAATTACTTAGCTTAAAATTTCAGCCCTGTGGCCCATATACATCCACACACACATACACACACACACACACACACACACACTCATACCTTAACTCCTTGACTAGCTCTTTTGCAACAAGGATTCATGAAAACCCTTTGCAAGTGCAGAGGAGAATGCAATGTACTCCATCATAATCACACTATTTTACCACACCCTGGTGTTCAGTCTGAGAGCTGAGTCAGTCTCTTAATGTCTGTAGTGTATGTAATTGTTCCAGCAAGTGTTACAGCGACTGACTGGGGAAAGAACCCAGTGGCACACAGAGGGTCAGAGAATCAGCCTTTATTTCACCGGCAGGCTCAGAGGGGCAGGCCACCAAATTCTGAGCACCGCTTCCTTGTTCTCCAGTTTTATACACTTCTTGGGGTTACACACAACCAATCAACTATGAACATGAGGAGTTATCCAATCAGTAGTGGGATTCAAAAGCATCAAAAGCATCCAATCAGCAATAAGCTTTACATATCCAATCAGCGGTGGAATTCAAAAGCATCCAATCAGCAAAAAGCTTTACATAGCCAATCAGCATTGAGTTCAGGCATGGGGCCCCAGGGTGGGGGTTTTCCCCTGTCATAATCTTGAGTCAGTACACACACAATCTATTTTTAAAACTGACTATTAGGGTTTCTGACAAAAAAAACATCAGAAGGAAAAGCTTTATATGGTCTAAGGTCAAAGGTAAATTAATTTTTATATTGCTTTGTTTTGTGAAGAGGAAGAAGAAAGCTAAGTTACATGGAAAGAATAAAGTCATCTTATAAAACAGTATTCTAAGTGCATCCTGTGACAAGAAACATTTTGTACAAATGCCGAGGAGCTTGAAGACGTAAAGCTTACTCTCCAGGAATTTACATTTATAGTCACTGTGACTGCTAAAATGGAACATGTGATAATTGTAAGACAGTTTTTTTCTATAACTAAACTTTGGGCATGGAAAGGATGGTAAAAGAAAAGGGAAAATAATAGAAAGTGAAAGCAGTCAACAACAAGGTAGTAAGATTTGCACTGTAATATTTGCCACATGCCTGCCTTCTTTCAGAAGTTAAAACCAGAGTGAGCATATAAATAATGTATTTGCCTCTTTCTGCATAGCATTATCATTTTCCTTTTTTAAAAAATACTTTACGTGATTTCCAGAGATACTTTTGGAGAGAAAATTTATTTTTCGTCATATTGTCACTTATTGGAAAATGTTTTAATTTAAAATATCTCAAAAGGCTGGAGGAAAAAAGTTTAATGTACATGTGTTAGAAATATTTATTTTGTTAAAATTATGAACATAACTTAAAAAATAAACCTAAAAAAGACCAGAGGAAAATTTCAGTTTTCCATGAAATATATCATAAATTTACTTTTCTCTAAAGCTGAAGGCCATCCTTTAGTCTTAAAGAAAAAGTTAAAATCTTTTTTTTTTCTCATGCAAAAATCTATTGCTGTAAATGTTCTGTGAATGTAGCCTTGAGTTAGAAAAAGTCTTGACTTATGATTAATGTCTACAATGTTGGCAATACTTTTGATCAAATAGAGAGAGATAAAATGAGAAAAAAAACATTTTAAAAAATTCAGTCATTCATAGCTAATCAAGGTGGAAACTTTAAAATTTTGAAATCTAGGCCTATTTCTAAAGACAGTCAACCTGCTTTTTTTTTTTAGAACAACCATCTTGTTCTCTTGGAACAAGAATTAATTTCTTATTTCGGTATAATATTATCAAGTTTGAAATAGAGAAGATATCTAAGATGAACTAGGTTTGCAATGCTTTTTACAATTAGAAAACTCTAAAATATCTACTGAAAGATAATGTTGTAACAAATTTAATAGAATGATAATAAACACTATATTCCTCGTATTATGTGAAAAAAGAATACTATCAAGATAATTTTATAATGTTTTACTAGAAAGAAAATATAATTTTTCATAAATGTTTGGCTTACAGCTGAAATTCTGAAAATCACAGAGAATTTTGACACTACTTGAAAAATTAAAAGCGTAAGAACATTCACTATCTCTTTATGATGTATATAAAATTTTAAAAAGCAAATCAAGGGCCAATTATTTTAAATATAGCAATTCAAACAATGAAAATAAGTCACAAATTAATAAACTGTTTCATTTATTCTAAATTAATCAGTACATCACATATATCCCAGAAAGAAAATTTTACAAAACTTACTTTAAAACCAAGGCAATTATCTTTTTTATTTTAATTTTCTTGTTACATATACAATTTGCAGTTGAGAGTATAATTTATCTTGTTCTGTGAGTATTGAAAGTTTACAACAAAAAAATGCGATATATCAAAGTTGTTGATATATCAATAAAAATCATGATATTGCAGTATATACACTACTTTGACATAACACACAATTGTCCATATCTCCCAATATTTTCAACATCATGAGTAAGGTTTTAAAATATTTAAAGGAAAACTAATGTTAATAATATTTTAAAGTTTTTAATCGTAAAGGACTGAAATAGCACACAGTCTACCATCCCAATTTTATGATTCAGTAACTAATATTTATGTAGTCTTACTAGGTGCAGGCACTGGCTTAAGCTCCTCATTTATATTTCTCAATTGAGTTCTCATAATAGCCACATTATGTAGCAATATAATTCTTCACGTTTTTTTGAATGAAGAAATTAAGGTGCAGAGAATTTTATGGTTTTCCAATGAGCAAACATTTGGTTTGATCGATATGAAACCATAATGTGTGCTTTTAAATAAGATACCAAATTAGTACATTTATTACTCTTCATTTCTTATGGTCACTGCTAGGCACATATGCTCTAGGATTCAGGCATAAAAATAAACGCCACCACTAGCCTCTCATATTCATCTGCATTAGGTGCTTCTACTCTCAACTCACAAAGCATAGCTATATTTTCTTCCAGTGGACATATCTCTATTGTAGTTTATTATGTATGTTTGTTTATTGTCTGTCTCTCTACTAAGATGTGAACTCTACATTCTAGAAAAGGCAAGTACTATACATGGCATGTAAAAAGTGTTCAATAAATACTTGTTAAATTAATCAATTATTATTAAATTATATATAATGTACAAAGTACTTAGCCCAGCTCCTGGAAGTAAACTCTTAAAATTTTAACAAAATACAGTGTCTTCTCCTTTGGAATGTAATGCTAAAACAAATACCAAAAGAACCAAAATTTGGAGCGATGGAGATATGAGCTAAGACTTGGAGAGATGGAGCTATGGAAAGCCTTTCTCCTGTTTTACGTGGAAGTTAAAATTGCTCTGTAATTGGGAGTCAGTGCCAGTTGAATCCCTTGGACGCTGAGCTCTTTAAAGGCTGAGACCTTATTGCTTTTGTTCACTACCCTTTACTATGCATTAGCATAGGGCCTAGTCCCTGGTAAGTACTTACTGAATGAATGGAGGATATACAAAAACCTTTGCCATCAGGTGTATTACTAGTTTTTAATAACAGTGTCAGTGTTAGGAAAAATTGTGGATAAGAAAAGTCATTTATACTCTTTGCCTACGAATTGTTGAATTAGCCTAAGGTTGATGATATTTATTATAGAAAGTAAAAGTTTGTGAGTTGAGCCATTAAATATAAAAAAGAAGCATGAAACTTAATTCCCGCTATGATCCAAATGACATATTGAGTAACAGGCATTTCTGGTGAGAAACACACACTGTACACCCAGTGATGACTATGTGCTTGTCCCTGGACAGGATGGCAGGGGTGATAACAAAGACACTGCATTGGCTGACATTATAATAGAGTGAGCTCTACGCCCAGATTGGTTTTGCTCAAGTCCCATTGTCCTTTTTTACTAGTTGTGAGATTTTGGACCATTGATTTACTCTTTAAACTTTTCAGTATTTTTATTTATATAAGATAGGAAAATAATTGTGTTTATCACTTTTTTGCTCTTGGGTTACTATAAATTAATGCATTTAAAGTACTGAGTACAGTGCCTGGCACCTAATGCATGCATAATATGGTTAGTGCTTATTAAACACCTATCATGCCCCAGATTTGGGGCTACATAGATATAGCTGTGAAAAACGAAACAAAACAAAACAAATTATCTATTTATCTATCTATCTTGCTATAGATAGAGAGACTAGATTTTTGGCCAATTACCCTGAAATTCATATCCCAAATCTTTGAGAATAGCGTATAAATTCTAAGCATATGTCCCATGTAACTTGGTAGCAATGTATGGGCTCTGAAGTCTCACTGAGTAGGCTCAAATGTCTGCTCCTTTGCTCACAGTTTCATGATTATAATTTTTGGAATGTCATGAACCCTCTCTGTGATTCAATTTTCTTGATTTTCACAGTGTTTGCCTCATGGAATTATTACAGAGATTAAATGTGATAGATATGTTAAAATCCCAGACATAAAATGTATGCTCAATACATATTATATCAGAATAATGGAGTTATATGGATTTTAAAATAAACCTTAATTTACATGAGTCTGAAATGTTAGTGATTTGTGAATTACTACCAATAGGCTATTGTTTTAGCAACATACAAATTAGAATCCTATATTTTCTTTTCTTCACCCATGTTGCAATAAAATGGGATGATTTCAGCTTTCCTCAACATTGAGGGCAATTTGAAGACTCTTAAGTTTATTAATATTGAAGGTGTCAGTTGTACTTCATCGTGTTTCTTTGTGGAGATTTCAGATGTATAGCCCTAGAGTTGTCAACAGCAGCTGAATTGGTAACCAGATCCAAAAGATATTTCTAAACAACTCTCTTTTGGCCTCATTATGTTATATTCCACATAAATATACTGCAACCTAATATACCGCCTGATATTTTTTATGATGAAACATTTCATATGAGGAAAAAAAAAAAAGAAAGAATTATGCACTGTAAATGTGTTATCTGATAACATGACAGGGTGAGGGGATTTTTACCTAAAGCAAATAATTAGGAGAGTCCACAGATAAAAACTGCCAAAATATCAACATTCACTCCATACTGTGCAATTTGAGTTAGAAGTAACTCAAGACATCACACAGGGAATAAGATTTGCATGTAACAGTATGAAACTGTGTCATTAAAGCACAGTAATCCCTTTCTAGGTGGATGTATTATATATATTTATGAATATTAATCTGTCCTGATTTAAACTGTGTTGACACAAACAGTTCCCAAATAGAACAAGAATTCTGTTATTTTTCTGTCTTCAATGCTTTCTCTTTCACATTTTCCATTCCATTTACTTCTAAGTGTATACATAGATAGTATACATATGATGACATTATTATAAGTGTCTCTAAATGATTTTTCAAAGAGACCAATTGATTTGTTATGCTGGGTGTGTTGGCCTGGGCTGCTATAACAAAATACTGTAGACTGGGTGGCTTAAACAACAGACGTTTATTTCTCATAGATCTAGAGGCTGGAAAGTTAAAATCCAGAGTGAGAGTTCTCTTCCCAATGTGCAGACAGTTGCCTTATTCCTGTATCTTCACATGGTGGGAAGAAAAAGAAAGAGAAAGAAAAATGACAGAGAGAAAGGGAGAGAGAGAGAGAAAGAGAGAGAGAGAGAGAGAGCATGCACACAAGCTCTCCCATCTCTTTTCATAATGGCTCTAATCTCATCATGAGGACATTACCTTCATGACCTCTTCTAACCCTAATTGCCTCCCCCAAACCTCATTTCCTAATACTATTACTTGGGTCTTCAATTTATGAGTTTTAGGGAGGACACAAAAATTCCGTCCATAACACTAAGGTTGCAGTAATGTATTTATGTTAATTGCTTTGTCCAAATTGTTAACAGGCATTTAGATGAAATATTTCATGTTTCAATAGATATACTCAAATAAACATGTATTTGTTAGGCTATATAATTCTAACTTGGCAACAGTCAAAAAAAAAACACATAGGAATATCATCTTTAAGATTATCAGTTTGTTAATTGAAAACACTGCTAAGAAAGTCTTACCTTTCGAGATAACTTTGCTAGATCTTCTCTATTTTTCTGAAGATGAAGTTGAATAACAGATTTATCTTTCTGAAACATTTTGTGGCTCCCCAAACAGTGGTCACTGAAGGAGAAAACATGAACACAATCATATCCTCCCGTAATACCCCCAAACTGTGCATTTTCCTCTTTGACTTCATTTTTTTTTTATTTTTGGAACTTATTTAAGTAAAAGTAAACTCTCTCTCTCTCTCTCCATATATATATATATATATATATATATATATATATATATATATATATACACACACACATATACACACACACATATATACATACATATGTATATATATATATACACACATATGCACACACAGGTGTGTGTGTAAATGAATAAGTTCAGGGGAAAACATGTATCTATATATATATAACCAAATATTGAAGTTACTTTCAAATGCATTAAGTTAAAAAATAGATACATTAAGAATGGTCATAATAAACTATAATATAGAACACTTTACATATTCAAAGTTAGTTTTAACCAGCCATGTGAAAGCTCACAGCAGAAGATAATACGCTTCCGGGTGGTCTAATTGATGCCACAATGTCTATGTGTGGATCACTGTATTGAGGAAGCAGAGGGATGTGATGGAAATGTCCTAGGCTTTGGAGACAGATTAACTACCTTTATGACCTTAGGCAGGCCAATTAAAATAAAACTATCTGAAACTTGATATTTTTCTCTTTAGAATTGGGATATTAATTCTACATCAAAGAATTGATAAGTAGATTAAACAGCAAAAATTCTAATAGCATTATTATACTTTCTCTTCCTCTCTCTTCCTCTTTTTTTCCCCTTGTGAACATTGGCCAAGCACATATTAAATGATGAGCACAACAAATTACTACTTTGCAGCATATTGTTTTAAATACAATCTGATTCTTCTGTGAAATGAAGGGCTTGCATTATATGTACTTCTTCAAAGCTGTATTGACTCAGCTGTATCTGGTGACTCAGTTATTTAAAAAAAAAGGATGAGTTATGTTAATACATTTTGTTTGAAGGATCTCAGTTAAATATATGGAGGATTTCAGGAGAAAGAAAAATCTAATATTGGAAATTTGGGGTCCTTGCTGTGATAATTTCATTTACATGGAAAATTCATGAAATATTTGGGAGTACCTATTCCCAAAAATGCCAGACAAATAGAGCACTACTCTGTTAAAATTTACGAAATTCTCTGTAAATGTTTTTATTTTAACAAGTGTTATTTTTAATACTTAAGACAACTCAGTACCTATCTGCTCACCAGAATGGTGAATGGTGAATGTTAGTAGACCAATTGTTGGTCTACCTAGATTCTTGTCCCAGGGCTCTTATATTATTTCCTGAGTTGTTTTAACTGCCAGTCTAGGTTAGACATAAGGCATGGCCAGTGCATTTCTTGACTAGTTCTTTGAACTATTGATTTTTCCTTCCTCCTTCTCAAAGTTCTGCTCCAGTGGTCTATCCTTAGAATCCATCACATGTACTGAAGTTCCTCTCCTTTCACCTCCCTCTATGCCAGCTCCTCTTCCCTTGTTTAGAGTTCTGTTTTCCTATTCCTGCCCTCAGATCCAATTTAAGAATAATGATCTACTTTGCTCTGAAAGATTCCTTTTCTCCTTGTATTGAAGCCTGAACCTATTTCAAGAATTCAGCCTCATATATGACTACTGCTTTCTTTCTTGAACTGACTTTATCTTACCCACCTGTGTGTACAGCCCTTACTAGAATTGTCAGATAACATACAAGATGTCCAGCACATATGAATTACAGAGAAACAATGAACAAATACTTTTAGTATAAGTATGTTCCAGGTAATATTTGATACATACTTATACTGAAAAATTTACGTGTGTGTGTATATATATATGTACATACACATAGAAATTCAAATATAACTGGATGTCCTATATTTTTACTTGCTACATCTGCCATCTGCCAATCTTACCCCTTTCTAAAACTAGTTCTTAATTGTTTCCTTATATTTGCCTCCTCGTATATGTACATATGTGTATGTGTGTGGTGGAGTCTGGCACCATAATTATCAGATTTGGCATAATTATCACGTTTTGGAAGAGTCCTTTTTCCTTATGTATATTTTTAAATTTACATTAAAGAAATACATTCTCATGGAAACTATTGAAATTGTACTAAACTGCACAAAAGAGATGAAAAAAAATTCTGTTTTTCTACTTTCCAGAAGAGCAATTACCAAAAGTTTATCGAACTTTCTCTGTAGGTGAAAATAAATGAGTAAACACATATATATTTCTGTTATAAATGAGGTAATTATGTTATGGTTATTCAGGCTTGAGTGTTTGGCAGTCATTTTTGGAAAATGAACAAGGTGTGCCTGGTGCTTTAAGGAAAACACCTGAACTTTCAAGCAAAATTAGAATTTTGAGAGATTTATATCTCTCATTACGAGCTTGTGAGCTTTCCTACATTTAAAGACTGTTCTGGTGCAATCAATGCTAATATTAAATAATGTAATTTTTAAAATATTTTATAATGAAATATATCAACACTTGTAGGATCTGCAAATCTAGTGAACAAATTTGCCTTAATGACAATGCATGATGTTTCAAATTTTACATGGCTAAAGATACACCAATAGTGCAAGATAGACTAATGTATTCTAAGAAGACTAGTGTGAAAAGTTTACTGATAATTTTTCGTATCCACATTGCAACTAAGTTTTAAAATACTATCACTTATTGATTTTGGTGCAGTATCAAAGAACAATATACACAATTATCTGAAAATACTACTAAAATATTCTTCTTTTTTGCACATTCATATTTGTGTGAGGCTACATTTTCTTCATATACTTCCACCATATCAACATAGTGCAACAGATTGAAGGCAGAGGCAGAGTGAGTATTCAACTGTCTTCTATTAAACAAGACATTAAAAATATTTCTATGGAAGAATATACCATGCTCATGGGTCGGCCAAATCAACATTGTTAAAATGTCTATACTACCCAAAGTGACCTACAGAGTCAATGCAATACCTATCAAAATACCATCATCATTTTTCACAGATATAGAAAAAATAATTTTATGCTCTTATGGAACCAGAGAAGACCCCGTCTAGCAAAATCAATCCTAGGCAATAAAAACAAAATAGGAGGTATCAATTTACCAGACTTCAAACTATACTACAAGGCTATAGTCATTAAAACAGCTTTTTACTGGCACAAGAACAGGGACATTGACCAGTGAAACAGAACAAAGAACCCAGATATAAACCCATCCTCATATAGCCAACTAATCTTTGACAAAGCAGACAAAAATATACACTGGGGAAAAGAATCCTTATTCGATAAATGGTACTGGGAAAACTGGATAGCCACATGTAGAAGACTGAAACAAGACCCACACCTTTCACCTCTCAGAAAAATCAACTCACGCTGGGTAATAGACTTGAACCTCAGGTGTGAAACTATTAGAATTCTAGAGGAAAATGTTGGAAATACTCTTCTAGACATTGGCCTAGGCAAAGAATTTATGAAGAAGACCCCAAAGGCAATCACAACAGCAACAAAAATAAACAAATGGGACCTGATCAAATTAAAAAGCTTCTGCACAGCCAAAGAAACTGTCAAGAGAGCAAACAGACAACCCACAGAATGGGAGAAAATTTTTGCAAGCTACACATCTGATAAAGGGCTGATAACTAGAATCTATTTAGAACTCAGGAAAATCGGCAAGAAAAAATCAAACAACCCTATCAAAAAATGGGCAAAGGACATGAACAGAAACTTCTCAAAAGAAGACAGAATAATGGCCAACAAACATATGAAAAAATGCTCAACATCTCTAATCATCAGGGAAATGCAAATCAAAACCACAATGAGATATCACTTAACTCCAGTGAGAATGGCCTTTATCAAAAAGTCCTCAAACAACAAATGCTGGCATGGATGCGGAGAGAGAGGAACACTCCTACACTGCTGGTGGGACTGCAAACTAGTTCAACCTCTGTGGAAAGCAATATGGAGATATCTCAAAGTGATACAAGTAGATCTACCATTTGATCCAGCAATTCCACTACTGGGTATCTACCCAAAATATCAAAAGTCACTTAATGAAAAAGATACCTGCACTCAAATGTTTATAGCAGCACAATTCACAATTGCAAAGATGTGGAAACAACCCAAGTGCCCATCAATTCATGAGTGGATTAATAAAATGTGATATATGTATACCATGGAATACTACTCAGCTTTAAGAAACAGTGGTGATATAGCACCTCTTGTATTTTCCTAGATAGAGCTGGAACCCATCCTACTAAGTGAAGTATCTCAAGAATGGTAAAACAAGCACCACATGTACTCACCAGCAAATTGTTATTAATGGATCAACACCTAAGTGGACATATAGGAGTAACATTTATTGTGTCGAGAGGGTGGGAGGGGGAGGAGGGGATGGGCATATACAACCACAACGAGTAAGATGTACAACATTTGGGGGATGGACACGCTTGAAGCTCTTACTCGAGGGGGGGGCATGGGCAATACATGTAACATTAATACTTGTACCCCATAATACGCTAAAATAAAAAATAAAAAAATATTTCTAAACAGATAACAATGCTACACTTCTTACAGATTGTTTTGGAACATATAGTTATTTTTAATAAAAATATGCTATATGTATTCACATGTAATAAAGTTTATTATTGTTAATTTTAATTCAAATAATAAATGCATATTTTTGAAATTTGTCAATTTTAATTTCCAAAATGGTAAATATTAATAGATATAGTCCACAAAAAATATTTTTGGGGTGCTTAAAAATTTGTAAGAGTTTTACAGGAGCCTGGGATGAAAATGTTTGAGAACTACTGTTCTAGAACATATAATGAACTATGGACCTCAATTATTAGGTTTTGTAAAGGAAATGAAAAGTGTTAATTCATCAAGTCAAGTAAGTTTAGATAGGTGAAAGAAGCCTCTGCTAATTTATTTCCTTTTTTTACTAGAATTTTTTTTGTTTATTATGTTAACCATTTTTCTATACACCATAGGACTTCATTATTCATTTTGTTGGAGTGAACCTTCTAATAATTTA